AAAGAAGCGAAGAAGTTACCTCACCACGTGATCAAGACTTGATGTTTGCTAGAGTCAAAGAAGAACAGATAAAAATTGAATTCTTTACATTTCACTGAGTTTGGCAGGTTGTAACATGAGAAAACGGAAGAGATGTGTAAGAGTTATGGATGCTTCTGCACGGCAACTTCTAATTTTGTAATAAATCAGGCGTTCTACCCGACCTAAAACTCACACTCTAAAGGAGAAATCAATGTTGCAAAGAAAAGAAAAGAAAAAAAACCCAAAACTGGATAATTTATGCAGAGCAGTGTTGCACCTTCTGAAACATCTGCTGCCACCCAGAGGACGAAACATCACCAAGTGGACCAATAAAACACGCAGACTGAGTTTAATGCATATTTATTCACAATTAAGGCACAAACGTACATCAGAGTGCTGATGTGTAACAACAGAGCTTGTCAGTTCTGGACAGTAGTGTAGTAGAGACAATAGGCAGTGCATTCATGCATGAGAATTAGATTTACAGAATAATGAAAAAAAAAATTCAAAGATATAAATCTCAAAAAAAGCTGTAAAACGAGTCACTAAGTATGCACTCTACTACATTTAAGCTGTCCATCGGGAATATTAGCTTATCAATAAAAGGTGTATAGATTGACTCTCTTATTGAACGTAATAAGTTAACAGTAACATATTTTGATCAGCGCTTTTTCTCAGGTTTTGTAATAATGCAACAACCAACCAACGAAGATCAGTTTGAAAAGAGGAGGAAATTAAATACAGACGGTCTGAAATATCTCAGGTGAACCATGAACTACATAGAATTCAGTCAGTACTGACGACTGGTTTGTAACACTTCACGCTCTTAATACAAAAACAAAAAACAAACAAATTACACATCCACAAAAAAAAAAAATCCCCAGATTCAATCACATTTTCTGGAAAACCTGTCAGTGACAGCCTGCTACGACTTTCGGCGTGGAAGAATAATAAGGCCACTTCAGTTTAATACAAAGCATCCCAGAGTGTAGCATCCAAAACAAGCTTCAGTGCACTTGAGGCCTGTACCATGAAGCAGAGTTCATCAAACCCGGAGTTTCTTTAAATAAACATGTTAAGTTAACCTAAATTTTCTGACTCTAGGTGTGAGTGGTTTCATGCAAATCAGGAGTTTGAAATTAATTGACCAATCATAGTAAGGAGGTAAGCTATAGAAATGTTTCTGAATGCTTCCTTTAATAGGCTGAACTGATCACATGTCCAGAAATTACTGCCAAAGCATAAAAAGGCTCATGAGCTCTAACAGAAGACAAGAATAAAAACAACCTTGATGAGTGTAAAGCTAGAGAAGCATCAATTTTATTGACCTGTAGTATGGAAAAGCTTCCTTAGCAGCAAAAACATGAAGAGGGAGAAAAAAAAAAACATGCACTCCTTCACTTTCAAAGCCTCAGTTTTGTTTTGTTTAAGCTGTAAGATCATTTCTGTATCTGTTTCCCAGGAAACAGACCCGGAAAGAAGAGCCATAGCTTTGTAACACAAAAACTCCCAAACTCAGCATGGAGTTACCTTAACAAAACATCGACAGGCCTTTTGGGACCAAGCCCGCATACCCAACACTGAAAAGGCACCACGTGCATTCAAAGCTACAACTCCTTTGTGCTACACTTAACCTCACTCACCGACTTACTTTTGCGTAAGCCAGGGAAAGCTTACTGGTTAGAGATCTGCGGGGAGAGAAGCAAATATGAATTTGGGTGCAACACGGGTTATCTTGTACAGTTTTGGATTAAGTGTGACCCAGTGGTACGCTTGAACTCTTCCTCCTTGTGTTATGAAACTGGTTCATTTCCAGAGATTTCCAAGAATCCCCATCCTGAGTGTTTAGTGACAGTTTTGGCATTTAGGATGACATTTCTGATTGTTGACATTGCAGCGGCATCCTCCGCTGGTGTCTCCAGGACCCTTTAAGAGTAAAATTGGAAAGTTGAAATGATATTTAAGCTAAACTGCAAACAACCACAAAAAAAATAAAAAAAAAATAAAGCAGCATCGTGCAACTTTTAGGACTTTTATTACAGAACAGGGGAAAGTAATGATTTCTTACCTTGGGTCCCCAACGAGGCCCCCTGGTTACCCAGCAGATCTCAGTGTGACAGACGGTGCAGCGCAGCCAATCACATCCATCCCTCTTCTGCACAATGATGCCACACTGAGGACAGTGCATGGCCTCCCCTGACTGCACAAGGGTCTGATTGTGGTGCAGACAACGAGAGCAGAGGAAAACAAAACGAGAATAAGAAACGAGGATGTGGTTGGTGGAAGCCGACACCGATTACTTTCTCAGTTTACAAAGACAGTGATTCATTCTGTAACAGCGACGCTACAAATCGATTACTCTCATGTCAGGCAGTTCGTTTAAAAAAAACAACAAAAAACAACTAAATACGAGAGTGATTTCAAAAGCTTTAAAGTGTTATTTTGCTGCTAACCTTTAGCAGATGTGTCGTTCTTCTGGCAGCAGAGTCGTTTATTGCTCGGGCTGCGAGGTCGTCTTGGTATTGTTTACAATTCATTCCCTCATGGATGGCCTGACGAGGAAAAAAAAAAAAGTGAGAGTCTAGGTCAAATTATGATTTTTAGAGGCTGTAAGAGTGAAGTTTTGTCAAACAAGACAAAGATTGAACTATTTGGCTACAATGAGAAGAAGAATGCATAGGGGATGTGTGTGGACATCTTGGAATAATAATAATAAGACAAACCCAGTTCAAATTCATTTGTGTCTCCCATAAATTGACAATAACGTTAGTTCTTGACTGGCATTGTCGCTTCTAGTTTGAAGATGTACTACGTCTAAGTGTGACCTCTTCGTTTCTCGCCTTGCAAATGAGGCAGTTGTGTTTCCGACAGACGGGACAGTGGAAGACATTGACGGTGTCCTCGTACACACACCATCCCAGGCAATCCGGAGATGCACAGTGATAGCTGCCCTCGCAGCGAGACTCTGCCACAGAAAGGCTTCTCTGCAGCCAGCGCTCATATTCCTTCGGAGGCACCAACTAGAAAAGCGTATGGTGGGAGATCATGAAGGAATATAATTTTTTTTTAAAAAGTGTGCTGGCGAGAATGCTCTGACGAAGTGCCTCGGTGCAACTCACGGCTCGGATCTCTCGCTCCTGCAGGGCCCAAGGACAGGCGTACGTGTCGTCTCTGTACGGACAGGAAACCTCAGGCTCCTCGCACAGCATGATGATGGAGCGCAAGCATTCTCTAAGCGCCCGCATACAGAAATGAGACGGGGTTCAGTAACACAGAAAAAATACCGGTTAAGTGTTAAATACGCATCTTCCCACTCCCACATCTCACTTGCAGAAACAGTGGAGACACTCTCTCAGCAGGACGCCTTCTCCCGACTGCAGGTCCACGAAGCAGATCTTGCAATCCACAGGCTCGAGATTGGGCACCAGGTCCTGACCGTCCATCTTCACCAGCCGGTCAAAGTTCTCTCTTCGCTCCTGCTCCTTTGCCTGAAGGAATTGCAGTTTGCGTTAGCACTGTTTTTAATCACACTGCTAAGCCATTTAATAGGCAAATCAAGTCACATATGTATCTATCCACCATCAATCTGGCAAGAATTATTTTCACCAACCATTGACCGATCGTAAGACAAGGAGTTAATTGATTTTTCAGGAAATTGGAAACATCATCACATGCTACTGCTTTCGCCCCTCAGAGAAGTGTGTAGTCGAAGGTAAGGCACGTCCTTTTGGCCCCAAGTAACACGAAGTTCGAGTGCGCAGGTCGCAAGCGTGCAAACATTGGAGAATTGGGACGGTATGGGTTACATCGGCTTGTGCATCTGTGTCGTAACTGTGACATCCGAAATGGCGAGACTGTTCAAATTTGTTCTGTTGTGACGTTTTGAATCCAGAGCAAAATTCAATAGTGTGCACGCATGTATAGTATAGCAAAACATACTAAAACATACTATATTTTGAGTTATACCACCTTATAACTCAAAATGTCAACATGAATCCATGAATTGTGGGTAATATGCTTCATTGAAGTCCGTTTAGATGTGGGCTTAGCTGAAGTGTGGATCAGAGTTCAGTGTGAAAGTCCACTCCAGAAAACTGGGACACACTACGCACTCGAACCATTTGAGGGACACAAGGGTGGAAGTGCAAGTTTTGGGGACAAAGCCTAAAGCTCCAACTAACAAGGCCTTGTGTTGGAACTTGCAAACTGCAATAAGTCTCTTCTTCTGGAAGGCCATATGACTCCAGCAAGAATGCTTTAACTCGTAACTGATACATACCAGGCATCTGTTCTAAAGGGTTGCAATTCTACAAGAAACATTTTTTTAAATCAGAAAAAAAAAGTCTTCAACCAATAATATTGTGGCATAAAGGATTTAACTCTATGTTCTGTAAATTATAAACTTCCAGTTTGCCTGTAAAGGGAACCTAATGGACGAATTAAGAACATGTTATCGTTAAGCCTCTCATTCACACATCAAGTCCAAACACACTCAAACATTTAAAACCTTTTATTTTCAGATGTATCACAAGGTAAATACACCACAGTGCAAAATCTGGTTAATACATTCAACATATTGGCAACAAAAGGTGCCAAGGAGCTCATGAAAACAACTTGATGTTACTCGTCAGCATTTGCCGGTCAAGTTTGACTTTAAGGCAGACAAATTTTTTGCACATTTTCAACACCTTTTCATTCTTCATTGCATCACCTGCACTACTTTCCATGAACATTAAAACAAAAATAACGTTTAGATACGCTTTTGTCGGTAACAAACTATTTAAAAGCTATGAAACTTCAGAAAAAGCAACAAAAACAACAAAACAGGATTTTTTTTTTTTTACTCAAGTATGTACTCGTATATACATTAAACGGGTTCGGCACTGTTACTGATTTGCTGTTAAGTCGCTAGTCTGTTATCTGCAGTGGAGTGCGTGTGTGTCAGTATGTTCAGTAGTCCTGGTCCAGGTTAAACAGCAGTGAGTTGTTATGAGGCCCAGCACTCCTCAGCATCTCTCTTCTCCCTTTCTCCTTCAGAAAAACAGAGACAAAAGAGAAGAGAGTCAACCTGAGTGAGTGAATGGTTTCAGTTCCACTGGCAGCCTTCAATCAATGTCAACTTGTTGCATGTCATTTGAAAGGTGTGTTTTTGTTTGCATAAATATATTAATCGGCGAGGCATCTACGTAGCCGTTGACAACCACACATAGCCGTTACAACATGTCCCTGCATGCAGACAACTGCAAGAAAACACCACTAAGGCTGTCGGTGAGTTGGAAGATGAGTTATATTTAAAGAGGGTAGTTTTCCTACCTGCTGATACTGTCTGATTGACTCCTTCTCCTGCAGGATCCTTCTGAGCTCCAGAGCGTCAGGCTGGTGTCCTCCAGGGATAATGTAGTTCTCAGGCCGGTTTGTGCTGCAGATCTCGCAGCCCGGCCGCGTCGGCTTGTTGATGTACGTGCAAGACGGACACGACCAACCCTGAAGCAAAACAATTAAAACTGTATTTTTTAAAACGTAGGAAACGGAAAACGTATAAAGACTCAGCTACACTACAACGGCAATATTTAAAACCGAGACAATTCACTTTGGTTTTGAAAATACCACTGTGCTAGCTTTCAAATTGCCGTATTTCCTAAACTCTGTCAGCTGCTGATGTTAAGATTCAGTCCGAAACAGATTACAGATTATTTAAAGACAGAAATTTAGGAAACGTTGATCCTATCATCTAAAAAAAAAAAACGAAAAAAAAAATAAATAAATCTGTAATTACAATGTTTGTAATTGTATCATAAGACTACAACAAAAACCATAAGGACTAATATTCTATACATAATATAGATTCTTTAAAACAATTTAAATAACTCTTGGTGTTTTGAGGATTAACACCTATGATACTGATCAACATAATCCTCTTAAATGTGCATCGTCTCTTCTGTTACTTTTGCAGATACTTTTTGCTTAATAAGTATAACGAGATTCCTTTTCTAATTGTATGCAAGTCACTCAGGCACAATTAATATGTTAAATCATCTGGTCACATGGCCAGATGCAAACTGCTGCAGACTGTGAAAGGTTTAGATTTCACAGGAACTCAGAATACTTTCCATCAGAATTGTCTAAACCTCCTTGTGTCTTACCTTGGTAGAAGGCGTGTTGAGATTGAGTCGAGGCATTTCAAAATTGATCTGATCTCTAATATTGCCGATGTTCAGTCTCTCTGAGCCACCTGCAGGAGAGAGAGAAAGATTTTGCAAATGACTTCAAATTTTTAAATAACCTTAACAATGAAACTGTTCTCAATTAAGCCTCACTTGAGCATTACAAAATAAAATTAGCTCAGATGACTAATACTATTTGATGGGCAATTTGGTTTACAAAAACATCACCTTTGTTTTATTTCTGGTTTTACTTATTGTTCGTGGTTGTTGTGTTTTATTTTAGATATTTAAAATGTCCAGTTGCTGTGGTCTTTACAAAATGTAAGTTCATTGGTCTTTGAGAGGATGAACTTGAATTATTACGCCATTATCAATACATTACTTGAAAATAAGTCTCAAATGATTCATCACAATCATTTCTGGAACAATTTATCATCCAGCAAAATTTGTTATCACGATGAGTCTACTTTAATGGTACATTAAAACTACTCTTGAGAAGAAAATGGAACATTAACACGTATAATAACTGTACTAATTCATAAGTCCAGGTTTTTCCACAAAAATCTCTTGTTTTTCACCCTTTAAAATAATGCCAACAGTAAAAGAGAGATCGTATTGGCTGCTGCAGGTCCTTGTCTATTTCACAGAACCTTCTTTCATCTCGTATTGGACTGGATCTTAGCGTGCCTAATGTAGCAGAGACCCGTTCTCACCATTATTGCTGGTCCTGTGGAGTCTGGGAGGTAGAGTGGAAAATGGCCGTCCGTCGTGGGAGAGGGGGCCGTTTGTGAAGGCAGCGGGGAGTGAGGGGTTTTGAAAAGACGACGGAGGGCTGAGAAGGAGGGCGCTCTCCTGGTCCTTCTGCAGGACCTGGAGAGTCAGGCGAGAGTGACGGGCTGATAAGAGGTACAAGAAGGCCGTGTCACCATCCTGACGGACGCCGTACGAAGCGAGGGTTCGGAGGTCGGTGCACAAACACTGGCCGATCACCCAGCGCTGGACCCGCGGGTGGAAGCCATACTCGAGAAACATCTGGAAAGGAGCCGAAGCCGACAGAAAAGTGTTATTACTAACAATTAGATGGAGAGAGAGAGAGAGATGGTGTGTAAGGAGAACGCGATGAGCTCGATACGAACCTGCTGCTTCAACGACGCAGTAGTCATGTGAGGGAAAACTTTCACAGTGATGCAACAAGACGAGGAGGAATCCTCGACAATAACAGCTAAGCTGTTTTTAAAACAAAGCAAACGGCAGATAACTGATTAACAACTGTGGTTTCACATGTCAAATTATCGTCGCAGTCGTCTTTACTTTATTTCAGTTTCTTCATAGGTTTTGGTGGAGGGCTGGATCTTCAGGGCTGCCTGTCTGCGGGCGAGAGAGGCGGCGAAGACAGAAGCGCTCTGCATGTCCCCTGCCTCGATGGCTTTTTTCAGCTCTATGCAAGCGTCCTCTGAGCAACGAAACGCAGACATGAAGAGTGAAATGAATGAAAGAGCAGATGAACAGATGTTTACACAAACTGGACAGGTTTCACTCTGGCACACCCGTTTGCTGTAAAGCCGAGGTATTCCGGAGATGGAGGCCATCGAAGAGGTGCTGTAGACCGTTTTCCTGAGGTGTGGCTGAAAGCGTGGACAATGTGGAGAGGAGACGGTCAGAGCAAAAGTAAAGACAACTAGAAAGAAGCAACAAATACACAAAAGCACAAAAGTCAAATAATGTCCATCTGTTCATCAGATTTTTATCTGCATGATAATGTTCCAGTCCTGTATCATTTTCCTTTCCTTCTACCTTTGTGTTGGTTTATTGCATTAAAATCCAGAGATCAAGGGATTTGAATACTTTTGAAAGCCACCATTTAATATTTACCACAATAAATGTAGCATCTAATTTTATACAAAATGTTTACACGAAATAAAGCAACACGTCTGACTTTGATACCAGAGCATTGCTTCCAATTCTAGGTATTTTAAACTTGGGCTGCAACAAAGGATCGTTTTAGTAATCAATTATTCTATTGATTATTCTGCCGTTTATCCAAATAATTTTCTTTCTCTTTTTTTTTTTTGGCACATTCAGCTGATTTTTCATTTAACCACCTACAAATATATTAAACGATGCCAACAAATTTAATTATTTTTTTAGATAATAAAATAATAGCTTTATTGCCTGAAATGCAATAACATAGTATTTATTCAGTGTTTTCTTTATCATTTGCATCAACATAAAATTTGACTTTTTGCGCTTAATTATTGCTCTTAGTTTGTAGGGTTTTTTAAATTTTATTTTAGGAAATTAAATTTTTTTCAGTCTATACACTGTTAACAACTGACTTGGACAAAGGGAGAAAACACCGAGCCCTCGTCAGTTTGTGATTTCCTCAGAAGCTTGGAGCAACAATTATCCACGGAAGAACAGGTTCTTCAAGATGCTTTCAGAAACGTAAAGGCAAAATGACAACATGTGCAAACTATGTAGGTGCATTCAAAACGCAAACTGAAGTCAGCGAATGTATTCACACACACTCGCAAAAAAAAAAAGGTAATTTGTTACTGAAAGGGCAGATTACAAACGTTTAGGCAAAAACTACATCCTGTCAATGCTTCAGAAAGGAGTGAAATCCCACTGCAGAGAGGGGAAGTTGAACTCTTTGTTCTGCTCATTCATCTAGCCTCAACTAAAGCAGGCGGCGTGCGCAGAGACGGGCGACTGACCTCGATGTGCTTCTCTCAGCGAGGACATGACCACGGTGGCCCATCCCTCAGCCTCCTGCTCGCTGCTGAAGTTGAAGCTGATGCGGTCGCACGGAGGCGCCACCGATATCAGCTCGTGGCACTTTGGCGACTTCACTTCGTAATTTATGGATCTTAAATCAAACTCGTTTATGGTCTGCAAACAAGGTGGGAGAGGAAGAGACGATGAGAGACGAACGTGTGCGCACGAAAACTGAAAGGGAAGTCTGCAATTTTCTTATCCGGTACGTCAACTAAACGTCATTAAATGACCACCACCTCTTTTCCATTAAGCAGGCTGCTAATAAACACTGCATAGCCTGGACACTTTCTTATTAGCCTGTGACTTCTAATCTCTCAGAAGAACTTATAAGTCCATTTACTATGCCTTTTCTTTTCAGAAAAAGAAACATTTCCAAGCCAACATGTTTATTTTCTTGCAAAATAATGGCTATTCACAAGTCTTCAGGCAGCAATAACTCCTGACTAGAGATTTAATAAATGAACTTCAACATAATTAGAGCACGAAATATGAACACATATGAGATGTAACAACTGAAAACAAAGATGAAGACAGTTTCTATCAATAATAGCTGCTTTGTATCCACTAACGGAGGTCTCTATATCAACTTTAAGGATGTATTTTTACAGAAGCATAGACAGCTAGAAACAATGACATCACGCTGTGCAGCTACTTTCTAACAGCAAGGAAAAGGGAAGCAGGTCAGAGTTGATTGGAAGATGGATGGAACTAAATACAAGACAATATTGGAAGAAAACCTGTTAGGACAGCTCCATTTATAAAGCCTGAGGTACAATGTAATAGCTTAGAGCTACACAATATATTGAATTGCTCTCACAATATTAACATGTGCACTGCTGTGACTGAAAATGAATGCTTGGATGAAACATTTGGTAGGATATTACATTTCAGGTGCCATATCTATCTTTTGGATAGACTTTGCCCTAGTTGCCCAGAGTTGATGTTTATTTTTAGCTAAAGCTGAGGGAGAGTGGTGGTGGGGACCCTGTGATTGGAAAAAAGCAAGAGAAGAGCCAAGGAAACATGTTTTAATTAATAATGTGACAATATTCAGAGACAGTATCGCAATTACAGGCTTTACTGATAACGCTCTGTTCTAAAATAGATCAAAGCACTATAGAGTGTTAGATTGGCTCAGTCAAAGCACAGACGTAAAGGTGGTATCGGTCTCTGTGGGCAGAAACTGTTGTGGGGAGAAAAAAATGACGATAGATACTTCAAATGGTTTTAAAAACACGCCAGGAAATAGAATACGGGGGGCTAATAATGTCAGTTAAACAAATAAATGTTTTAAATAAAAGTAAGGATATCAATTTGAACATGTGTTTATTTACAATTCTGTTTATGCTTAGTGCATATCTGCGGTCATTACATAGTTTTGGTCTCAAACCAGACAGTTTAACTTCTGCTCCACTATTTAATCGTTTGAGTTTTTGTTTTAGCCTGCATTATGTCATAGTGTTGCGACAAAAATAAAACATTCCTTTATTTGTACTCATTTCGTGTGAAAACCTTTCCCGGTCAAAACAAAACCCAAAAGTCCCTCATCGTCACTGTGAACTCACCACACTCTGGCCCGTCCCGCTGGTGCTCTGTATCGCCAGCCGGAATTCCCCAGATTTCCCCGGGTCCATGCTCAGTTGCAGGCGGAGTGATTCATCACCAGCTCCCGGAAGACACAGCGGACGAACCCCGGAATGGCACACCGAGACCCGAACCGACATGAGGACGGTCTGGCAGCCAGGCTGTGCCTGCGAGGCTTCATAACTGCCGGTGAGGGCGGCGGACTGGTCCGGCGTTAGGCCGGGGCTGTGAGTCCAGCCGCCTGAACTTAGCGACATCACGCCGACAGACTCATGTAGCAAACACAAAAACACGCAGGAGTCCCGTGGGTGTGTAGCCTCCTGTTCCGCGTAGCGAAGCGCTCCTTTCACATTTCTCAGTGTACCTTGTTGCCGAGTAGTTAACAGGAAACAAGTGTGTAAAGGCACTTCCAAAAAAGTAGAAAAACAAGGTCGACTTTCACTCCTGTGTTCTTCTTCTCTTCAGCCGAAACTCCGTCCAGGCAGATATCGTATCTTTGTATTATTCAACTGGACACTTTCACACTAAACCGTCCTGACAAAGAGTACAGCGATAGTTTGCTACTTCTGAAGCTGTTTTGTTATTGCGTTTGCTTTCTCTTCCACTGCGCATGCTCGACAGGATGTGTGCTTTTTTTTTCCAACACAGGGGGGCAGCAAAACACCCAATTTATAAAACATTTATGGGCATTGGTATGGAGGTCCAAAAGGGACACATTTAATAAGTCAACGTGTAAATATTTATGAAGGTCATAATTTAAATTAAATTTGGACTAAATAGGCCAAATATATTACCCAATTAATAAATAATTAAGTATTTTATCAACAATTATACATTTATGATCATTTATTACTTATATAATTACATTTATTAAAATTTATATGCAGTTAATGTTAAAACCAAATACAATGGTTTAGCTATTTAGCTATTTAGCTTTGCAGAATTAGTTTATGGCCTTGTGTTCCAGCAAATCATAAATCAATTGTCAGTCCTACCCATCACAGTCACTCAGTAAGGTTAATTACTGAAAAGGTAATTGGTCTGCAATGATGTGAATAAGTAAATAAAGTTTATTTGTATAAGTTTAAATAAATGATAAAAAAAGATTTTACTTTTAGGACCTGAGGGCTCATGTTGAATTACGTCCCTATGCCCTTTGCTGAGCAGGTTGACCAGTCAAATATGTATTTATTTATTTTCAAGAGTTATTCCATGATTTGATAATTAACTAAACAATGAAATAATTATTGATAATGTGAACAATAATGAATGCAGATTTTATCAATGATTTTTTTTCATTTGAATATTTATACCTTTAAGTAAATACTAAACATAATTTTCATTAAGCTCAAATTTTTTGCATTAAAATTGTTTTCTACTGCTCAGATGTAATATTCTAATATTCTATTCTAATCTAATCTAATCTAATCTAATCTAATCTAATCTAATCTCAGTTTACATGAGTTGTAAGGAGAAAATCATCAGCCTGTACACATGTAAAGACTCATCAAACAATGAGTAAAACTTCAGGTTTTTCCAAGTAATGCTTAGCAGCACAACATTCTGTTTGCAATGTTTTGTGTTTGTCACTCACTTTCCTACGCTTGGATTTAAGAAAGTAAGTGCACCACAAAATGTGGTTAGTGAACGTCCCCACCCACATGCTGTGGGAGCCATGACGTATGAGGCAGTTATCAAAATATACTGTAGCATGAAAGGGGAATGCTTTAAATCACACAGGTTAAAAAGGTCAAGTTGTTAATCCTCCTGCAGGCATGTTTTTTTTTAATCAACAATGTGTTCCTCAAGGCTCTCATGGCTCCTCAATAAGATGCTTACGTTAGGAAGAAACAACATAATGTTATAAATTAAGTGCATTAACTCTATGCATTCTAAACAGCCTTCTTTTATCTTGTATCACTGTTTAAATGTTTTTGTAGTGACGAAGCACCAGCTGGGCCTTATCAGATTTCTGTGCCAGTCAGGAGATGTCACACCTGTTCACGACAATGAACCAATCAGGTATGACCTTTGTTGTTCCAATAAGCACTCCCAGCCTTAAATCCAATCAGCTTTATTATTCATAGACTTGTGTATGCTGCACATCCCCAGGTAGGTATCTTTGGATTATTGCATCTCTGTTTTGCATATGTTTTATTGCAATATGTTCTATTGCAATATGTTCTCTGCACGTGACAAATGTACGTCTGTAAAGGAGACAAAGCACTGCCCTGCAGAGGAGCAGAAATGTAAAAGTTCCTTGAAGCTGGTTTGCCAACATTCTCTAAATGCCTGGAGTACACACCCTACAGTTTGTGTAATTGTTGTTATAAGGTTACAAATTAAGTCTCTGTAACCCAGGTGGGATTTGAACCCACAATCCCCAGCTCCGGAGGCTGATGCCTTATCCATTAGGCCACTGGGCCAGCTGCAGCATCATTTTGTTCAGGTTCAGAACTGTGTAAAAGTAGATTATATTTAGTTTACTAAGACTATACAAAATGCATCAATATTTAATAGAGAAGTACATACTTAATTTAGTAGAATCATACAGACAAAAAAAAAAAAATCAGTCAATTAGAAATATTTCAACTCAATCTGTTATAAAACAATTCAGTCAAGTTCAGTTTTTTACACTTGTTCATGCCTTTTGATGATGTATTGTTTTAAACTAAACCTTAAGGAACTTAAGATTCCAGTGTGGTTCCATTATACCTAAATTGCTGCTGGTTTTCCTTGTTTTCATCTCCTGACATATACCTTTGTACAACAAAATTATTTCTCTTCCTTGTACCCTCTCTGGGGTTTTTACTTCACATCAGCACACTGTTCACTCACTTCTTTGCCCCATCAGCACAGATAACAGAGATAATGTTATCTGTGCTGGTGGGTTAATAAACATAAACCAGAATCAGACAACTTCTTGGATTTGCTCCAGTTTTGTGTTTCTTGATCCTCTTTTCTTTTTTTAAAGCAACAAATGACATCTAAGTTTTGTCACAAGTGCTCTTCAGATGTTGTTGTTGGGACTTTCGGCATTGTACCTAGCTCTAATTTGATAGATTCTGGTAGTTTGCGGTTCTGTTTTACTCCCTGCGACGATGCTGATTGATGAAAGACTCCACGAAACCACCCAACACAGCCCAGGGTCACTGCTGTTGGGGTGACCCCCATGTTCACTAATTCAACGTTACCCACATGTCACTGACTCCTTGATGGACTGCTCTGCTGCGTGACAGACGTCAGGAGATTTTTCTCAAAGAGACGAGGGGTTTCAGGGAGTGGGAGGAGGAGAACAAGGGGAGGGGTGATGCTCGCATACCGTGATCTACTCTGCGATCACTCGGGGTAACTGACGTTCTTGATTCATCATCCGACGACCTCAGCGTGGATATATAAGCTGGGGGACGTTGCTGTTCAGAAAACAAATCCAGACCTCAAGAAACTGACCTCAGTTCATCACCAAAGATCTTGGTAAGTGCTTCTCGGTAATGATTTTATGGATTTTATCACCTACAGCCAAACAAATCCGTGGACATGTATTTTAAGAAGCTCAAAATGGATTTGATTCTCTATAAATTTGTCACCGAGAGTCTCGAGAGACAAATCCCTTAAAAACAATAATAAAATCAAAGACTAAAAGGTAAATATAAATGAAAAGATAATGTTTGATCTAGTTTCATTTTTCAATTTTCTAATTTATTCCTACTTGAGCAAACCGAGTTTGATGACAAAATGAATTGCTGTGTATTTCTTTGCATGTCCCTAAGTACAGCCGAGGTTAATCAGCAGTGCCCTTCAGTCCCTCTCAGTGCCTTGACCGACTCCCCCACCCCCAGCATGCTGCCTGGGAGAGACGCTGCTGTCCGGCAGTGCATCCTGACGAGCCGCTGGCTGCCCGCGGCTCTGACGCTGCTCCTGCTGCTGTCCGCCAGCTTCAGCCGCGCTCAGAGCACCACGGTGGAGCACGACTTCCACATCGTTCACAACGTAGACAACAGAAGTAAGTAGAAGTAACTGATGTCTGTCTCCCTATTTAACTGCAGTTGCTACCGTTTTATCTGTCACCAAACAGACATGGTGGAGCAGCAAATCTGGCTTTTGAGATCATTATTCATCATTCTACTTATTTCTCTCTCTTTTTCTTTTTATTCATCCCGTCAATTGAAATCTTGTATTCTATGGCTTAAGTTTAAAATAAAAAAATGATATTCCTTGACTATGTATGAAAACGTTAGATTTTTTTTATTTAACAAAGAAATACATATGTGAAAAAATTACATTTTAGTAAATGTAAAGTATAAACCCAACTCAATCACCTGATCTGAGCTCCTTTTCGCAGTAATGAGATGCACAGAGTGGTCGTGTGGAAGTCACCTACTTTTTCCATTTCCTTTGTTTAATAAACAAAAAAAGTTTATCTTAGTCTCTATGATAGTATTGACAATACAATGTGTTCTTCAGGTAAGATATTACAAGCTGCATTTTAGAAATGAAATCGAAAACATTTTAAATGTTGCACAATTACTATTTTGTCATCCACTTTTTTATTGCAACTTTGAATGTTCTTGCAGAAAGATTATTATGCTGTTTTTTGTCTAATTTTTCTTTGCATACGTTTTTGTTCATATTTTGTCTTGCCATTTTTTCTAATTGAGACATTTAGTACCAAGTAGAAATTTATTATACAAAGACAGCACTTTCCACTTAATTTCAATATTTATTTTGGACATATCTAAGTTTAAGGGTTGTGTTTAGTTTTTTTTCTTTTACACAGATATATATATATATATATATATATATATATATATATATATATATAAACACGTAGAACCTGAGATGTAACATTTAGTTCAAATGAACAAATGAGGTTCGATTGTAAAAAATTTCAGAATCTGGTCAGGATCCATTTATTTATATGTTGAAACCACAGACTCTATCGATGTGCTTCCTGTTTTTTCATGACCGCAGACATGTTTCACTTCCTTCTCCTGCTGATGTTTGTGTCTGGATACACTGTCCAGGTCCAGAGATAGACCCGTTCTGGTACGTGGGCCGTGGAGTGCGACCCATAGGGCGCTTTGGGAAGAGGCACAGCAGCATGGACGCTCTTGGAAACAGTGGGATGCAGCCTGTCCTAAGGACTTTGGAGCTGCTGCTCAACAGCCTCAGAAAAAAGGAAAACCTTGAAAAAGTAATCAGTGGAGAGGAAAATGTTTGGCTACCATGATGCCATGTTCTTGCCTTCTGTCCACAAGCCTTTTTTTATTCTCTCAACTGAAGTTGTACATTCATTTCTTTTAATGTAAGCTATGAGGTTAGTCATACGTGCATAATTCATTCACCATGAAGTATCTACACGTAAAAGAATGCAATGTATATTTATCAATAAATAAGAATGTTGTTAGGATACCAGTTAACGGTGTCGGTTTTTTGAGCTTGCCGGCGCACAACAAAATGTTCGCTTCAAACCAAACAGGTTTCCTTCAAGTTTGTAAATTTTATTTCATAATACATTTTATTTCTGAGTATTATGGCACATAGAGAATCTGTATTTTTTGCATTTTAATATTTTCCCCAACATGTCATATGGATTGCAACAAACGATTACACATAAAAAAAAAAGTGAATGGCCCGACTTTGGAGCTGTGCACAGTGTTGCTCAGACTGGATTGAAACAGGAACAAAAGCAGTGTCTGTTTCCATGCCGTTCACTTTCATTTTCAAGAATCCCAGTACGAGACGAGATTGCTGGCGTCTCACAGCTATAATTTTAACTTCCCGCATGAATCCAGCCTCACAAGTTATAGCAATTTTTACAGTCTCTTGCACACAACACTGAAAGAACCGACCGGGCAATAAACATGTTGCAATATATCATATCCATCTCTTTTTAACACATATACATACATTAACAAACATTTTTGATGAGATATTATTGTTTTTTACATTAGAAAAATACAGGACACCGATGATTGGACCCTTGCAGATGTGCTTTTCATGAAAAACTTTACACCGATCCCATAAAACCAGAAACATGCTTTTTATACTACAACACCTTTTTGGAGAACAAGACCGACAAAAGTACAGAATCAGTGTGTGCAAACTGAAAGATGTGAAAGGCTGCGATGAAAAGGTCACTAATAGAAGAGGGAAGAGCTTTCACACAGAGCATCATCGCATCTTTTATGTGGTCCATCAGGACATCCAACCCTGTTTTTACATTTTGCCAAAGCAAAAAAGAAACAACAAAAAAACAACCAAGTGCATGGCTAAATCAGATTCTGATTCATGTAAGTCGTCACCGAGTAAAGAAAAGTTACCCAGAATGAAAGGCAGTCTCCTCAAATCTAGTGTCTAAGGAGCATACAAGTACAGTGTGAATCACACTGGCCACTTCAAAAACATGCCTTTTGTAGCAACCTGTTTTTGTAACACTCATGTCACCACTGCTGATAAATGAAGGCTTACACTGAAAGCAGTTTGAATCACCACAAGTCTGGTAGAGCTAATTAGGGGTCCTTAGAGGACAGGATAAAGCCTTTAATTTGTAATAGTCCTTGTTTCTGCGATATTGCATAAAAATGTTTTGCAAGTACAAAAATAAACTGTTTGTAACAAAATCGTGTTTTCATGACATTTATAATATAGCCCATTAAATGTTGTGTAAAAATCTCAACAAGATTTTTATGATTACAACACAAATGTTCAGCTATGACCCGGAAAAGGATACAACAAAAACAAACGTTTTATTTAAAAAGAAAGGCCACAAAGTTGAAAACAAAGAATGTAAAATAAATTCTACAGAGAACTTTTTCTTTTTTTTTTCACTGAATGTCAGACCTCAATTTTTCAACTGTCTGTCTTTTTAAAAGAGACTTTTGAGCTCAGTGGGACAAACCTGGTTAAACTAAGGTTGTTTATTATTATTATTATTTCAGTGGTTCCGTGTTCATCTTGGTTTTAGATCATACAGGAAATTCTTTTTGGTTTGGGATTCATTGAAAAGGTTCAGTGCTCCACCTCTAATTTAAGGAATATATTGTAGGCCAGTTGTAAATTGTTGCCATTTTACAAAACAAGAAACCAAAGATTCATATTAGCTTAACATTTCTAAAAGGAGACCCTGATATCATTCGCAGTTGCTTGTTTTCTTCCAAGCCTAGTCACTTTTTCAACTTTTGGCCACCCAACAAGAACTTAGCTAAAATGTGCCAATTATTTATTTGAAATAAATTTCTAACTTTAGTTCCTGACTTTTTGTCAGCAGATTATCATGCGTTACGCATACATTTAGTCTATTTCATCAACAGAAATAGCCTTGCTAACTGAACTAGTTTGTGTCCTACTTCATCAGTGCTAATGTTTAGCTAAGCCAACAGATGGAGAGTCACTGGCTGTTATACCTACTGACATGATTGTATACATAACACTTTCTATGTGGATCCAAATTCACCCTGATTTAATACATACTGGGCTCCAACTATAGTAGAATAAGATCTTTATTTCATCGTCATCAGATTTAGGCTAGTTGTTTCCCACTTCCTGTGTGCATAGTTAAGCTAACTGATGATGATTCATTTGCTTAAGTTGCTGACTGCCCATTTGTTTCAGTATAATTAGCATGCACTATATCTAGACTCAAAGTGATCTTAAAGTCAGACATACTGGACTTATATTATCTATCTCATCTGCATCATCTCTTTAGGTTGGCTCTTCCACTTTTCCCCATGCATAGCAAAGCTAACTGGCTGTTAGAGCCTCCTCGGCCTTCACCAAGTTTAGTATAAATTGTTTACATATACATGTGATCTTCAAGAAAGATACATTGGAATTTAATTATGGTAGAATAAGTTATTTATTTCACCTTACTTTTACTTTGTTGTATTTAGCACAAGCCATTTAATATTGAACTTAAGCTAGCTGGTTCCCCCTTCCTCTATGCTGTGTTGTACTAAGAAATTGGATTTTTTTTTTTTTGAGTTACAATTAAAAAAAAATACAATAAGAACACCCTAAGAAGGGAAAATTTTGTTTTGGATAATTGAAGATCACCAAATCGCCCTGAGCTCAATATCCAATATGGCTGCCACGCATATAAAATACAGTGAAAGTAGATGCTTGGCTATAAACTGTTCATGAGCTTTTTGTCAGATTCTCTCTCATTAAACCAACAACATACTGTAAACTTCTGTTTGGAAACACGTTGCTTTAGTGTTTGAACACATAAAATAAAGATTAGTGCAGATAGCCTACGACAATACGACAAATCCCACTGATCTTCCAATTTGACACATGAAAAAAATTCGACCTGGGGTGTGATATGAACCCCAGATCTGTGTCCACACTTTATAGAAGGAACGGAGCACGACATAACTGGCTGTTGAAGGATCATTGGCTTGACTGGATGCTGGATATCAATTAGCTTCCTCCTAAATTAGAACACTGGCATTTAAACTATGCTGCAATTATATGAATATTTCGTTCTCATCTGTACATCAACAGTAGATTGAACAATATCACAAATGTGCTTTGCATTTGTTTTAGCTCCTGCACGTTGCAGTGGTAGGAAAAGTTCTTCCACGTTTTGGCCCAGATACTTTGCATATCTTAAAACACTGTTTTCAGGTACTGTGAGTGCAATGATCTGATTTTAAATTGTTAAAATACCCAAAGGTTTAAGTGTAACTGTCGTCTGATATAAGTGTGTAAAATGAAAAAAAGAAAAAACAGAAAAAAAGAAAACAAATTAATGAGAGTTGGAGGGTGGATAAATACCTGTTTTGTTTTTACCAGTTTACTTGGGAACTAAAAACACAAGACAGCATAAAAACTGTCTGGTCTTTCCATGATACTGAATCACAGAGAGTCTCACACAATCTTTCCACAGCTTCATCTTACACTTAGTAACAACACTGCTGCAAACAGATAGAGAACGGCAATGCATTCTTCTGTGTCTGTACAGATGAATATATATTTATATATATTCTGTGAGTTGTATGTAGCATGAGGATTGTTTGCAGATTTTAAGGCAGATACACCAAATGCTAAGTCAGCTTTTACATGTGTGCATTGAAGAAAGAAATACTGAAGGTTAATGGTGAAAAAGACAAACAGCCTTTAATGTTTTCCTGTGAGGTGCAGCTGTTGAGGTTGGCTGAGGGTGGAGAACGCAGGGTGGGTGTCAGTCCCTGCTTGGCCGAGAGCTGGAGGCAGATGCTGGGTCAAGGCACTAGATGTGAAGGGCCCCTGTCCCTGAGGCTCTGTAAAGTGGCCCTGAGGGACTTGTGCTGCTGCTTGTCTCTATGGCCGAAGAGCTTTAACCTGCTGCTCTGACTCCAACTTTTCTGAAATGCCATGAAAACAAAACACTGTTATCCAAGAAAATTAAAACCTATTTTTTAGGCCTTTTTTGTACAGGAAAAAAGCAGAAGACATGCAGCAAATGGCCAAGAACCCTGGTCTGAGACAGCAGAGCCCGGACAGATCCACCGTTTTCCTACCTAAATGCCGACCTGCTCAAACTATTAAATTATCTCTTCATATTTGGCAAAGGCCTGGTCGCAAGACGTTCAATTCAGATGTGTTAAATTAAGGAAAAAAGCTAGATACCAGCCCTAGAGGACTGGCCTTGGACATCCTCAAGGGCGACGGCCAGAGGGAACAAATGACGTGATCTATCACTCGTTTTTCAAACCGCGCTGATAAAGCTAGTCTGACTCAAAGCTTTTGTAGGGAGAAGAGTGAAGACTAAAAAAGAATATAAAGAAAGCTCCAATTAGGAAAAAAAATCCATTTACAAACATGAAAGGGAGATGACTTCTTGTAGCTCGATAAAACAGCCTTATCAACCTGTACTGGGTGTGTGTTTCCATTTGGATACTTTACGTCTAATGGTGCTTTTCAGTTTCTTAGTCTGGTTTTAGCAAATGTATTCACTTTTGCATCTATTCAGGAGCAGCTTTTTCTTTGGAGGTGAAAAAAAATCCTCCTGTTCCTGTGTGTCTCTTTTAGACTCCCATACTCCCATGTTATATCTGCAGATAAAGATGTACTATTTGTTCTACGCTGAGGTGATTTAGTTACTCTTCCTTACTGGTGAATATGTAGAATATCAGCTCATAATATACATTTTTCTAAATATATATAGAAAGATTTTCTCAAATATCTCAAAAAAAAAAATTCTATCTCTGGTTTTCTCTGTGCACATCTAGTTTTCTGCAGACGAAACGGATACAGCTGGATTAATACCTTTTAATGGAGGTGCTGGGAGTTTCCTTCTCTGATGGCGCGACGAGTCCAGTGTTTCAGGCTGGAATAGACACAGCCATGTAGTTTACAAACTCCAAAACAAGCAAAACTGGATTTTGATGGACGTCATGTTAAGGTACGCTACTTTTTATCAGCAAAAATATTCAGAATATGAAAAAAAATAAGAGAATCTGAAGGGCAGAGATACCTTGGACTTTGGCTTTATCTTTGAGAAGCGATTGCAGACAGTCACATTTAACCCAGCTGTTTTCAGAGCTGAAATTCTGGCCTCGATGTTTGATATCTTCAAAACAAAGACAAGTCATCCACAAGAAGACCTTGGACTTATGAACAAGCACCGCATATTTTTTATTTTCCCCCAAACAAATAATCCTACTAAGTACCTGTAGTTCAGACTGCTGGACCTGAGCTGCTGCAGTGGCTACCTGGTCCTCCAGGAAGGCCAGATCAGTGTCTGTGGTCCCACTGCTAATACTGCGGGCACATTGCTCCAGTTCTCCTAGCGCCCCCTCCAGGCCATACACAGCTCCAGCAGCCAGGTACACCTGCACAGTCAAGAAGAGCTAAACCGTCAGTGTCCGTCAACAACCTTTGTTCAGTCTGATACGGTTACGTAGCCTACATTCTCCTCCATCTTGGTAAGCCGCTGGTCCAGCCTGCGTGTCTCGGAGCTGCTGGATATGGGAGAGGCACTCATGGACTCGGACGGGGTGTAGCTCTCACCACCAGCCTCTCCGATCAGATCCTCTGTGGCGTTCAAAACCTTCAGCACTTCCGTGGTGATGCTGCACAGTGAGGCCGCTGAATACTTTTGCTTTGATCGGAAAACAAAGAAGCACATGTGCCTATTTATTAGCGCCAGTAATCAAGGGTGAAAAAATGCAAGTAATACATTTTTTTGTGCAAAAACAAAACAAAGCAAAAAAAAACAGAAAAGAAGTTAAAAACAAAACTTTTCTAGCATAAAAAGGAGTTTAGCATATGATTGTAAAAGAAGATGTAAAGACATTAGAGTGCATTTTTATTGGGCTCATTGGGTAAAGCATTTAAATCCAATTAAGGAGAGAAAAATACATTTTTTTTTTTGTTTTGTTTTGTTTTTCAGAAATCCTAACCTCAGAACTCTGAGGTTGTACAAAAACACATTGAAGGGACACACATCAACCTTGTTAGAGCTTGAAATTAATCACAGAAACAGCAGGAGCGCAAAACAGGGACATGAGATACGACACAAATTAGGAGAAATATGCCCAAAAGCAGACAGACAAATTTAGAGAGCTGGGTGGTGTCTTAAATATCAAAACAGCATCAGAATGAACAGCACGTGTTGATTAACAAACAGATGAATTTGCAGGAATTAGCTAATTTGATTACTAATTTATCACATTTATGTTGTGGGAAACTGGTCAGCAAGAAAGCTGTGTGTTCAAACCCTGGTCTGTGTGGAGTTTGATGTTCTCTCCATACATGCGTGGGTACTCTGGCTTACGGAGAGCCATTTCAGTCAAAATTAAATAAAGAAAAAAATAAATGGCTCTCTATACGCATGGGAAACAGGAAGTACTGGATTACTAATTACAGGTTCTAAATAAAACGGTTCCAGTTATGTTTATTTTACAAAAATTTCTTAAAGGTACCAATAACTGAGCCCCAAATAATTTTGCAAAAATGAGTTATTTTTTTAGATTAGTTAAATAATTTTCTTCACATCTTCGCCACAGGTTCCAGTGCATGTGAAGGAGTGTGTGTGTGTGTGTATATATATAACTGAATAGCAAAGATGTAAAAGCAAAAACAGCGGCTGATGTGTTCCCCCTGAAGAGACAAAACACTGCAGACATAAAGGGAGACGTGTTTTGATCAATAATGAATAAATCGTTGGGTGGCACTTTGATCAGACCCTTCTCAGGCTTATTGATCCTATTTTAAGCAAGTGTGACTCTCTGAAAGGTGTTTTGAGATAATGTTAGAAGAAGCAGCCACATGGATGGGAACAAAACAAAGGAGGTGGCATCTTTTCTTTCATCCCACTTCAGTGATCTCGGCCATGAGATATGTATCGATCTGAGCCGCTCAATAGAGCCGCGTGTGAAGACGTCCTCGTCCACTGGAAGGAGCCGGCATCAAACAATCTAACGTATGTGTGGCTGTTTATGTTTGTTCTTTCACTCTGAGCCTCTTTTTCTCGCCGTCTTGTTAAATTTCTAACGGGAACACGGACCTGCGGCATCGCACGTAGCTTCGTCCAATGATCCGCTCCTAATGTCTAAGGAAATTCTGCTCGCAGGCAAGAATTGAACACCTGCAGAAGTAGCGAGCCATCATCCGTCTTAATTAACCGTTATTTTACCAAGAAGTCCCTTGAAATAAAATATTTATTTTCAAAGGGAAACCAGGTGAAAAGACGAACCGAGGCTTATGTTACTCCGATACGAATCTTTATTCATGTTTTCTGAAAAACAAAAGCCAGCGTCCTATTTGTGCACGTACATGCTGACGATGACGCAGATGAGGAATATAGCGGATAATTACATCAGCCGGGCGGCTACGCAATATGGAAGAGTCACTACTTCATGTTGATTAATTTAATAAAAGCCGAACTCTGCGCGGCTGTCTTTGAAAAGAGCACACGTTTGATGCAAAAGCTGAAAATGGACAGAAAAGACAAAAAAATAAAAATAGAAATCTTTTTCTCCCCCAATGAATTCCCAAAAGGCGGATAAGAAAACCGACAGAAGTAGATGTTACGACTACATTTTCCATTAACCGTGTCGGAAGCAGGCGTGACTCAGAGAAGCATTCATGATGTCCCTAATGACCAACCATAACTCTCACTTTTCAGAGGGGTGTGTGAGTGTGTGTGTTTCTACCTGACTTTGTGCTGATTTGACTGGAAAACAACTATTAAGCTAAGACGCTGCAGTAAGGACTTCTAATTAAAATTATTTCATAAGCATTTTATTTTACTGTCTTGTGTTTTGATGTGTGATATTCGTCCCCATTTGTACTAATTTAATGTGTGCATATCTGATTTTATTTTATTTTTTTCAAAAACATCTGAGATGAGTTGTCTGTTGTCTTCCTTTCTAAATGGAAAGTCAGACATACAGAGGCTTAGAAACGTAACCAACCCCTGATTCTTTTCCAGTTTTTCTCACATTACAGCTATTAAAATCAGTCTTACAACTATTGTTGTTTTATGTGCTACACAAACAAAATGTAACAGATAATTAGAAAGGGGAAGGAAAATTTAAAAAGAGGCCAATTAATGAAACAGTCAAAGTACCTGGAGAGGACATGCAAATTCCATGCAGAAAGACTCCAGCAGGGATTTGAACCCACAACCTTCTGGCAGCAGTCATACCATCTGCTCCACTGTGCAGACCTAACTCATTTTTATTTCTACAACATGTTGAACACCAGATACTCCTTCCATTCTGCTATGCAATCACACACTGCTTTCTGTGGTTCCATGAGATACAATCCCAATTAGATAAACTGATGTTTGTGGTTGTTTAACAGGTATGAATACTTTCGCAGTGCAGCGTGCGCAGAGGAGAACGGAGGCAGACTTCTTTGGCGTGCGCTTCACAGATGAAAAATTACCGGACCACCGGCTGTGATTCATTCTGACCTTTGGAGGCTTTCATTATTAAAAATATTTTTCCACAGAGAGAGGTTGCCAACTCATACGCTTTAATAGTTTTACGCTACGCCGGATTACATCGAGAGTGAAGCAGATATTTGAGAGCCTGCAAAGACGGGAGGACTCGCTTTGCTCTCCGGCCACACAATGATCTCACCTGCTGCAAGACGGAAGAGAGCAACTGAAGCCTCTGTTGTTGTTCCAAGTCATTCTGTCCCACCTGATACAAACACACACACACGCGCACGCATAGAGACACACAAGGCAAATAAAACCAGGCAGACGAAACACACCGAAGCAGTGAGCGCAAAGGAGGACAAAAGCAGTGTAAATACAACTTTGAAGGATGCCATGATGGAAGACAAGCAAGACAGAACAGGCACACAAGCCAGAGACAGAGAACGACTGAGAACGAACGTGTTTCTAATCTCTTGTCTCACCTGGTTGTTCGACAGCCCCCCCTCCTGGGAAGAAGGAGAAACAGCAGGGGAACTTGCACTGGATCCGCTCCTCCTGGCTCCACCTTTTTGCGCCGCCTCCTTCTCTCCGTCTCTCTTGCGCTGTTTCTTACTTACTCTGTTCACCTCTCCTCTTTTCTGCTCCTTCTCAGCTACTCTCTCTACGAAACTCTCCGCTCTTTTCTCTAACCTCCTCTCCTGAGCTCCCGTTTCCTCTCGCGCCGAGGCGCTCTTCACTAATCCGGCAGCCCGTTTCATCTGCTGCCCGTTCACCTGTTCCGTCGCTCCGCTTTCTTTCTCTCTCTTGACACTTGCACGCTGCCTTTGCCTCTCCGTTTCTCTTGGTCTCGATTTCTCTTTCTGCTTCTCGCTTTCTTTCTCCGTCTGCTTGTCCTCCTCGTCGGATGAGACGCCGTCTTTGCTGTTCCCTCGGCTGACCAGCCGGCTGAGCTTAGATCGTATTTCCACTTCCAGAGAATCTCCAGAACCAGATCCAGGCCCCGGGCTCCTGGAGACGATCTCTGGCCCCGGGGATACGGAGTCAAGCTGAGCAGAGTTGGGCGGTGGAGAATATGAAGCCACCGTGTTTGAGGGCTCTAGCTCTCCTGCTGTCAGGGCATCTAGTTTGAGGGCGTCTGGTGCAGCTGGTGCTGCTAGCGTACCGTCAGGCACCGGCTGCTCCTCGCTTAAACCTCTCTTCAGCAGGGCGTTGAGTAGAAAACCACTGTTCTCCTGAAACACACAAATCACAGGAGTTAAAATCATCAATACGCAGCAGCATTAAAAAAAAAAAAAAACACACACCTGTTTGGTAGCAGACATGAGCAAAATCGTTGGTGACACAGCAGAGATGAAGAGATACAAATAAGCAACCATTAGAAGAGTTACCTGTGCTAAGGGGTAGATGGACTGTGCATGGTTTGGACCTCCGGGTTTGTTCTGGTCCGTTGACGACTCCTTTCTGCTTTTCCTGCGTCTCCGTGATCTTCGGACACACTGCTTGTCGTCCGCGTCGCTGCTGTCTCCCGTCACCTGCTAAACAAACAGCAGGAGTGGTGAAATGTCTGATTTTCATGGGTCAGCTTCATGTTATTTCAGTAATTAAAAGATGGATCCCAACAGTTTTGTCCAAATGTTTATTTCTCAAGTTCACCCAGAGGCCAAATTACTATAGAATGGATCTAGTTTGGTAAATTGTTTTTTCTCCAACCTGCCATTAGTTTTTGCCTCTATGAAATATGTGAAGGAAGCGTCACCTTGGGGTTAAAGTTCACATCCAGCGCCTCTGTGTGGGCTGAGTGTTGGGATAAGCTCTGCTGGAGGGGCGGATGGTACAGCGGCTGCTGGCGAGGATGCAGCTGAGAGTCCGCCGGTCCCTTCCTCCTCAACAAGTTGTGAGTGGGTTTGCGAGGACACGCAGACAGAACCGACGAAGCCTCGGAGTCCGAGTTGAGGGTCTCCGTGTTGGTGTACAGGCCAGAGGACGGCGAGGTAACAGCGGGGTGCTGGGTGTAAGTCCACTCGGGGTCGTGCTGCGAGTCCGTGTAGTAAGTCTCATCGGACAGTTTGCGGCGAAACTGTTGGAGCGCCGCGCCCCATCCGCCGTCGTCGTCCTCGTCTTCCTCCTCCGAGTCGGAGCCCATCTCGTCGTACGCAGAGACCACCCTGGACTCCTTCTCCAGGACGCTGAACACCAGGCTCTTCCTCTTGGTGAGCAGGCTGGGCCGGGAGAGCTGCGAGCTGTGCAGAGCGATCCAGTTTCCGTCCGGGCTCTGCAGCACCGAGGATGCACCTGGAAGCACAGCCATCAGGATGTTTGAGGAAAAAGAAGAAGAAAAGAGAAAAGATTTTCAACATTTTTTGGAAATAAAAAAAATCTGAAAAGTGTGGCATAGATTTGAATTTAGCCTCCCTGAGTCAATACTGTGTAGAACGACATTTTTCGGCAGGCACAATCCAGATTTGCCGTCTGTCCAACTAAACAAGACTTGTTCAGAGCAGAAAATGTTCTTTAAAAAAAGACAACTTATAATTTTTGAGAAATATCGACTTCAGAAAATCTGTTATCATTTTGAAAGAACTCTATTTTCCAACTGATTTTATGTTTTAAAATAAAAGCATAAAACATTTTCAAGAAAGAGGATGGATACATTTTCTTATGTGGGATATTGAACGTTTTGGAACATAAAAAAAAAAGTTTCCAACTTAATGATAGCAAAAGTAAACCTAAAACAATTTCACTCATTTTTTTTGTGTGTCATTCTGTTGCTAAGAAACCATTTATCACATGAAAAAAAAAAAATTGGTACAACCAGTTTTTTTTATGAAACTCAAATTTAAAACATTAGTTGATTCTTTGTCTTTTTAAGCCAGAGTTATAAAAAGTTGTGAAAAGTTCAAAGAGCCACAGGATTTAGATCCTTGGGGTAAATCATTCTGTGGTACACTAAACACTTTGTGACAAATACTGAAAGAGTTAAAGGGGTATAAATGCTTCTCTAAGTCTCTGCATCAAGACAAGCGATAAGGTGAACGAGACTGGGATCTTTTACTTGAGTTGTCCAAGCGATCCATGCTTTTCCAGCCAGGTAGCGATGCAGCCTTGCCCTCCCTCTTTAGAGAAGCGAACTCCTGCAGAGCGCCTCCGCCAGAGGCAGCGGCAGCAGCAGCCGCCTCCTCCTCCTCTGGACCTTTCTCTGGGGAGTCGTCACTTGTGAGGGAGAACGCTGACCGGGACCGCTGCAAGACGATTGAACACTTCTTTAGTTAGTTTTCACCTTATTTTGTCCAGGGCAAAAAAAAAAAAAACAAAAAAAAAGAAAGAAAAAAAAACAATGGTAGTCGTGATTTAATAGTCCCAACAGCAGGTGGAGCTCCAAAACAAGCAAATAAAATACTATGCACTGATTCCCAATAACAAAACCTCCCTCTGGACACAAATTAATTAAAGGGGTTGTTTATTTTCAGAGCACAACTTCTAATTTTACATGAAATCTTCAAAGCGGGCTCATAATTTTAGAGTTCATTAAGACGTTATTTAAAGTAGTTAACAATAGCTTTCTGTGTTTAGCTTCAGGGAAAGCCAGAAAGGATAAACGCTCTTAAGATAAAAGCCTTATAACAAGTGGGATATGATCTTAATCTGTAGTGCTGCCAAGCAGTGAGGCGGCTCCGAGAGTCCATTTGCATCCGCTGCGTCTCGGTGAGTGTGTTTGCAGAAAGCTAATAAGCAGGCAGGCTGAGAAGTTTAGGAGGATCCGCGCGTATTTTGCAGGACTTTGATCTGCCGTGAGTGAAACAGCGGGAAACTGAGAGGCCCGGAGGGGGGGCGCAGCTTTGATGCTCCGCTCACACACACGACAATGACAAATCGGTGCGAGTCCCTGCTGGCTGGTGGCAGGATCCGGTGGGAGGCCGATCTGCTGCTGGTTGGTTTTTGCTACGAATTCGTGAATGCAGCGTGTCTTTTCGCTCCAGACTGAAACATTACCTGGAAGGATTGCAAACTAAAACGGCTTGCTTGGATTGTCTTAGGTCCAATTTTTGATTTTTTTTATTTAGATCAGCCAAAACCGCTTCCGAAATATGTTCAAGCGACATTTAGAGAAGAATATGTTTCCTTTACTTTAACTTCCTGAGGGGGGAAAATCTACAGTAGAGAGAAAAACAAGTATTGGCCAGAAAACTGTGATATTAGAGGGAATTCTAGGTAAAGCCTCCACAGAGTGACCAGTATTTCTACTAAATCAATGTTAATTTTAGGGTTCATTTCACCTTTAAAGCAATACTCTGTGTAAATTAATTCTTTTTTTTATCTTGGTCTTTTAATTGCAGCAGAATGCAGCTCTCCATTAGAAAACAATTGTGCTGGATCCTCAAAATAAATGATAAATGATCACATGGAGAAAGTTCTGTGTTTTTTTGGAATAACCTCAAGTGCTTCGTTAATAACAAGCTAAGGGGGTGCGCGTGCCTGGCAGGTTTACGGTTGTTAAGGTGTGTGGTCTGGATAGCTCGCACTGACCTTTACCTCTTAAACCTGAAGATTTGATTATTTTTCCACAAAGCACCATGTCCACACACTTTGTTTTTCAATTTTCCATGAACAAGGAGGGAACGACAAGTTCACAATAGGACAGGCAGAAAAATAAGCTGGGCTATCAAACAAGACTGCAAATATGGAGGTTGTAGGTTAGGGGACAAAAACAAAAACTGTCTCTGCACACAGACACGGTTTACACCCACCATCCAGACATTTTGGGATGAAATGGTGGGACTCACCCACAGAGGGTAGGGGTTCTTCAGAGGGTCCTGTGATGAAGTGTGAGGTTGAGAAGGAGATGGCAGCTCACTGGTCTGGACTAGAGATTGAGGTTGTGGCCAGACAAAGTCATACTCTGTCTGCATCTCTGATCGCTTCCTCCTCTGAATGATCTGACAGGGATGACAGAAAGAAAGAAAGAAAGAAAGAAAGAAAGAAAGAAAGAAAGAAAGAAAGAAAGAAAGAAAGAAAGAAAGAAAGAAAGAAAGAAAGAAAGAAAGAGATGGAATCCTCTGAAAAATAAACCTATCCTAACATACCAATGCATTATCTCCAATAGTCTTTAGCCTCCTTATCAAAGTAGGACACAAGAATAATCTTACTACAATTAACCTACTTCACTACTCGATGTTTCATGCTCGAATGCGTCGTCGATGCAAACTGATCCAAGACGAGTTCATTATTATTTATTCATTCTCATTTTAATAATGATGTGTTCCGTTACTGATTGCTGATGATGCGGAGCAATAAAAATGTAGTAAAAAGACAAAGCAGCCTCTCGCCGCTCACCTTCTGCACAATTGTTGTTGCAAGTTCCTCTATGAGCTCTTCTTTGTGGTCCCGCAGATATCGAGCCTCATTCTGCTTCTCCTGCACACACACACACACACACACACACACACACACACACACACACACACACACACACACACACACACACACACACACACACACGTTTCATTCAGAGAGACTCAGTTATGCAGAGGTCAGAGGGAGAGAAGTAGGACATGGCTGGGAAAGTTGGTCATCTAAATATTTAAATTAGGAGAAGAACATAAAAAAGGTGAAACGGCATCCTACCAGACTGTCCCGGAACTCCTCCGCCTTAGCGATGGCCTCCTCTATAGCTTCCTCAGCAACACGCAGGGCGACTGTGAGCGTCTCGGCCATACTGTGTCCTGTTACCACAACAACAAACATGGCTCAGACATTCACATAAGTCGGGGTTAAAGCCTCTGAAAGTTATCTAACTTGCCATTTGCAGGGCAAAAATACATATTTATTTTCTTACTCAAGTTCAGTTTAGATTTTTTGTGATTTCTTAACAAACAGGAAAAAGACCGGAAAAAAAAAAAAAAAAAAAAAAAAAAAAATCAACAGTTGTAGGTTGTTTTTGTAGGGGCTTGGAGACTTTGTCTTGGGTGCATTGAGAATTCACAAAAAAAGATATCAACTCCATCTTCTGCTTCTAAATATATATTTGGGTGGATTTCTGCTTAAGTGTTTGCGTGTGAATGTGTTTAGAACAACAGAGAAGGGGTCAAACGTCGACGGTGGTGCTGAATATCAACAAAACCCGCGAAAGATAAAGGCTCTGAAACGGCAAAGATTATTTTGACGGCAATTACTTCCCGTCTGCGGCGCCGCAAATGCCGACCGCTCGTCAACGCATCTCTCACCTTCACTCTGCCTGTAAAAGACGGAGTCGCTGCCGCAGACGCTGCCATCGTTGTCGTTGCTTCCGTCGTGAACGCTGCTTTCTGAAACACGGAGGGGAGGGAAACCATGAAAGCGTCTCTCCTTACACCGAAACTCCAACATCCTGCAAAAATCGCGCTGCTTTAAGGTGCAGCTGCAGCCACGTGAAAAGTAGGTTACGGCTGGAGCGCCGTGTCATGAAACCTTTTTTGTCAACTGGATTTCCAACCCGGTTCTGTTGTCTCGTCGGCCGTTAAGTTCTGTTTCAGTGTGATATTCACTAAACAAAATGACAGCTCATCTCATCGTTTAATTTCCGGTTCAAAGCAATCACACACACATATGCCAAAAATATTCTGAAGCCTTATTTTTTTGTTCCAGTCCTGCTATCTTTATGTTGCTCAATTCTCAAGGAAAACCTACATTTACTGCAATGCAAATGTGGTATAAAGGTGAATTCAGTCACATTATATGTTAATTGGTCTAATTTGAAGGACAGGAACCACTCTGATAAGGTTATTGGTTAAAAGATTTCCCTTTTTAGAAGCTCACATTCCCTCAGAGGCCCATTAGCTGCAGTATGATAGGCCTCCTGGGGGGCTTCTCATTAAACCAGCAGTAAAAGTGAAGTGGTTGTACTTGGACATGCAGCTTTTAAAGACTAGAAACTTGCAGAAAAAAACAAACAAACAAAAAAAAAAACGTAGCTGCTGATTGCCAAACCACCATGGCAAAGCAGAGAGAAGTCCATCACTAAATCCACCTCTGGGTTCATTTTCATTTCTTGACACAAGTTCGATGGAAACTCATAGAACAGACTAAACATTAAAGAAACTTGGATCCGTGTTCGTTCACACACTTATTCCAACATGTCGTCATTTTCCTCTGCCCTCCTTAGCCAGATGCCCGTATTCTGTAGTTAATTTGGTCCCGTTGCTCAGCCTGATGGCCAGGCGGCAGAGACAGACACAGATGAACGCGCCTGGTGGTTCGGTGCGAACCTGATGTTAAGCAGCACAGGCCAGGCTCACGTAGCTCTGCCATAGCTGTCAAACCGCCAAGACAGCAGCACACAAACTCATCGCTCTCACACTCAAAGTTTGACAAGTCCCTTAAGTTTTAAACATGAGCCTTCTCGCAAAGGGCAGAAAAAAAAAACACTTAATAAAAACCGTTTTGAGAGTAAAACCTGAAATGTATCAGAATAGAAAGTAGCATCCCCCCCCCCTCCTCTACTTTTCATTCAGCAGGAGCAGCAGCTCCGTCTGCAAGGTGCGCTTTATCGTTTCAAGAAGAACTGCTGTTTGTCAAAGTGCTGCGAGATTTTTCAAAGCGGGAGTGCAAAAACCGGCAATTTCACCTGTCACATCGACATGCAGCGACACAACAAGAAAACACAATGTTTGATGTTTCTCTGCACATCTGACTCCCTAGAGGAGATCCTTTCCCCCTTCCCCCAAACCCCCAGCCTGCACACAGCCCAGTGCAGGAAGCCCCAGAGAACATCACCCTCTCCTCTGACCTTTCCTCCGCCCCCGTCAGTTGAATGAACAGGTTCTGCTTGGTTAGAGCTGGATTATGGTTTCTGAAGACGACAACAGATCGGTGGAATTACCTGCAGCAGCGGAGGACGATGTAGACACAAAAGTACTGCTGTCAGAGAAAACTGTGTTGGGGGGGGCTCCAAAGATTCACTCGCTGACTAGTAGGCAAACAACGAACGCTGCCTGCACGGGCTGAATAAACTTGCCAGTCATACGGAAGGAGCCCGCGGCGTCGTGTTATTGAATGCAAAGCATATGCTAAACCTTTAGCAAACAGGAGCACTGTATCCATTTCCTTTACAAATACTGTTGTATATATCTATGCATTTGAAAGGCTGAGGAGGAGAGTTGAAATTTTGATTTTATTTCAACCCAAACCCTATAAAAATTCTCAAATGTACACTTTTACGTTATCTTTAGTGTGGCATATCCCTGATTTTCTTTTGCCCTGGGATATAAATAGAACATGTGATGGAATATATGAATTATCAAAGAAAGCCTTTTCTCCTAGCCAAGCTTTGAAATAGGAAATAGAAGAGAACACACGCTGAGCTGCGAAGCATGTGTTGGTTTTAAGGGAAGAAATTCAATTCAGTTCAGTTTAATACTACCAGTAGCCATTATTGATAAGCTGCCAAGATCTCTTGCAGCGGTCTGTGTTAAAGCACTTCTGACGAAGCCTCTGACTGAAGACACTGTTGCTGAGTTAATGTGTTGTGAAGAGGATTTTCAGGAAGGTGCATCGTGTTTCATGAAATAGGGCAGCTGCGATTTCCTCAGTATCATTGACGACATTGATGGTTTATTGCTGTGTATCATTATTTTTAGTTGAGGCGTGATTTTTATGATTTCAGTTTTAAGAAGGAGATCAGCTGCAGCTATTTGGTGTATCTGTTTCTTAGTAAAAGAGAGTCTGATTAAAACCAAGATTATAAAGGTTTTTTTACTTTTTATTTTAAAAGTATGGGAGTACTTCAACTACCTGACAATAAGTGGAGATCTGGATGCTTTGTAACTTTGATGAACCATTAAAAAAAAAAAAAAAAAAAAAACTACAGTATGTAGTTAAAAAGGACAGCAAAGCAGATTTTACTTTTGTTAAGTTTTTGTCTGGATGCATTTGTCACTGAGTCTTCTGAAAGAATAAAATCCCAAAACATAGACATGATCAAACTAACTCCATGACCACCTCAACACAAATCCTGAAGAGAAGCTGTTGTGCTGACTTTGGTTGATCGATTGTTCAAACAGAAATAATCAAAGATCTATATCATTTAAGATTGGATTGTTCTATTGGCAAAAGGAGGATTTACAAACCTTCAACAGTAGAGGCACACAATAAAAAAAAATACAATGTACCCAAACTACTTTATGTGTTGTTTTAAAATGATTCTGCTGCCTAATTAATAAATAAATGCATAATTAGGTGCTTTAATAAGACCAAATGGATTTGGTTATTCTGTAAGTGAATGCTTTTCACCCATAAGTTCTATGAATAATGTAACAACAGCTACGATGCAGTATAGCTGCTGGAATATAAAACAGTATTACATCAGTTGATGCAGAGTGGCAGCGATCCACCATATTACAGAATATATAGCCGGTCTTCTTGAGGACAGTTCAAATTTACTGTAAGTCGTTAAGACGAAGATTTCAATAAGTGTTTAGAGAACTTAAGCGTTAAAGGAATTATGACAACAAAATGTGCCAATCGCAATCTTTCATCTCCAATAATCCTGCCCTCCTTAGATGCTGATTATACTACTTAAGAGAGATTATTGACTTTTTTAGGGTTGATTGATTGCAACAGAGTGTGGTAGGAAACAGGAGGAAACCCACGCAGCATGGGCGAGAACACAGAGTTCTTCTGCAGAGAATCCTAGACAGTTGGCTGAGGTAAACCAGAGAGGCAGCTCTTCCTAACCGCACGAAAACATCAGCTCTAAAATCTGCATTCTGAAGCGGCAGAACAACAAAACCGCACATATCGGAGGTAAATTCGGTCTTTAAGGTTGCAGCGCATCAAGGGGTGACTGTGAAAGAATATTAATTGCAATAATTTGGTTGTTTTTCTCGTTACTTGTCCAAATGCAACAGTGAGATGAAGCAAAGACACGAGTATCTCGACAAGAATAACTTTCAGCATTCCGACGAATCTGCGGCAACGAATGTACCGCCAATGCAGCACCGCACTTCAATCCGCTGTGTTTTTTTCCCCTCTTCTCATAGCACCACATGCAATTCATGAATTCAGAATCCCTGTCGGCAGAACATAGACATTTTGCAAGATCTGAAAGTTTTTTAGGAAGTAACTGAGGTGCCTGGCAAAAAAACCTTATCATCCTCTTTTGTTAAAACAATACAAGTATACATTCATTGTATATTTATACACACACATACAAAAGCATTATCTTTTTTTTTTTTTTGGCAAAGTGGAACCAAATTCCTTGTTTCTGAGCACAGACTGGCCAAATGAAACTGATTTTGGTGTATTTTATTTGCAGGGATGATACAAAAAAAGTGCATAATAAATGCCTTTTATTTTTTACAAATAAATACCTGTAAAGTGCTTTGCGTATGTAGTCTTGGCTTGACTTAGTTCAAACATTTTAGAACCACTTATTTGATTATTAGCATTAAATAAGTTCTGTTTTGTGTCATTTTGCGTTGGATTTTTGAAAACCTCACCTACTTTACACACAAATATCAGCTGATATTTACTTTTGCCAACAGATGGCAGTAGTGGTTTCGATGCAATGGTGCTTTGATACAAATTCAACCGTAGCTCGAGATGTGTCTCATTAAGGTGAATTTCTGTTCCAGTCTCAAGTCTTTCCCCAAAGGCTTTTTATTCAGTATTGCCCTATTTTAGCTCCTCCCATTGTCACATTTATCATGAGTAGTTTCCCCGTCACTGGCTAACCAAAAGCATCCCCACAGAATGATGCTGCCACCACCATGTTTCAGAACGGGAATGGAGCGCTTAAGAAGTTCGTTAAACTGACTGTCGCTCTTTCTTTTTGGGTTTTTATTCCTAGAAATCGCTTTAAAACACCAGTAATGCTTTCCTTCGTCTTCAGAGTTATTACATTCTTCCGTTGACCTTTCATTTAAAATCCTAATAAAATACAACAGGACACAGTCGCATAGTTAAAAAAACAAAAAAAACAAAATAGCAGAGATCCTCTAAATAAAAATGAAGCGAAATGAGGACGTATAAATAAACAAGCCGCTAACAACATTCCTGAAGTGCCAGCAGCAGCGGCGGCAGGAGGAGGAGGAGGACAGACAGACCAGACGGTTTGCTTTCAATTACAGCGCAGCATCTGGCAGCACACACGAGCCCCGTAAACAAAGTCCTCAGAACAATGGCTGAGCTGACAGGATGACTGTTTATATCATTCAGGCTGGTGGAGGAGAGGAACAAACACACATATGGTCTATTGTCTCTTTAATTTGGGTTCAAGTTGGGAGTTTACAGTAACGTGATGGAGCTGACATTTAAATCTGTAATAAACATAAATTAAACCACAAACAAGAGCTCAGTCGCTGTTTCCTGCTGCGGAACATATATAACCAAATAGTAATGACTGTCAGGCTGAGCTTTGACTGGTGTCTGATTTTTTTTTATTGGGGGTGGGGTATTTGCAGAAATTAACAAGCCATGACAAAAGCTTTTGGAGATTGAAAATCACGGAGATGAAACAC